TTCCATCCTCACTTATCTGACTTCCTAGGTATCTAAAATCAGCCACTTCTTCTAATTTTTCGTCTCCTATCTTTATATTCGCTCTTTCCCTACTTTTTCTTCCCTTGCCTACCAGTATTTTAGTTTTACTTTTATTTATTATCATACAGTACTGTTTTATCAATACCGCTTCCATTTTATTTAAAGCTATCTCTAACTCCTCCTTGATAGATGCTAATCTAACCATACTAATCTTTTTCCCCTGTATATACATCCCTACAGTTGTACTGTATTTATAGATTAAAAAGTAGCGGTGACAGTGTGCATCCCTGTCCGATTCCCTTCCTAATATCTACTTATCTGAAGGACTAGTCAGGAACATATTAGAAGCAGAAACAGAAGTTAAGAGGAGTAGAGATAGACCTAGATAAGATTACTGTTCACAAATAGTTAAAGATGTGGGATGTACTAGTTTTTAGTTTAGGTAAATGCGATGATTATCTCAGACTAGGAAAGAGTGGAGGTGCGTGTCCAACCAGTCTTAGGACTGACGACCTTATGATGATGATGACGTATAAAATATTATGTAGGCTTTCAAAAACGACATTATGCACTAAATAATAATGATTTTATTCCTAATCTGAGGCCGATTGATTGATTGGCATCCAACCTCGGTCCGCGAGTCACACTTGATTCTTTGTACTATTTATCTCTAACTTTTAAACTTCAGAATGATCCTTTATTTCTAGCGAAACACAGAGCAAATTAATTTATTCTCCACGTGCATGGTATACTTAATATTATGCATGACAAATGCTTTCTGCATTTGCAACATGCTGCAGATTCTATCTAAGGCCGCAACGAGAACGTCTCGCTTCCTTAGTCAAGCACTTGAAGTAATGAGAACAAAAAAAAACAAACGAGTAATTGTCGGAATAAAATCTCATTCCACACCAATGCATTTATTAAACATTCAAGTCACTGCGTCACGTTAGCTTTGCTTTCTCTGGCTGCTTCTATTTCTGGATCTTCTGCGTAAAATAACGCAAGAAATTAAAAATAAATTTAATACACTACCTACGTAAATCTGTTATTCCTTTTTTTTACTCCCAGTTCGGCGTTTATCAGTTTGCAGTTGTTTTATATGGGTGTCACATTAATTAGCGTTGCTGTAAATTAGCGATAAACGAAAGTGTCATAACGGAAACAGAAGTAAATAGTAAATTGTTGCGGAACCGGAAACGAACGCGTATGCGGAAAATTTTCAGGTAAAAACAGTGGCAAAAAAAATTTTTACTGTGGATTTATCAAAAATTGTTAATTGATGATACATTCCCAGGTACTGAAGTGCACATTATAAAGTCTAATGTAATTAATTGATACTCTGGTTGAAATCCTTGGAATCCTAATTTTAATGGATTTACAGCTATTTTTGTGCAATTGGAAATGACGCAAAGTAACAAAAACATCACCAGTGCAGATGTTACATCCAAAGTACAACAATAAAATAATTACGAACGCGTGTAAAGTAAAGAAAAAAGTAATCTTTTGTATCTACGCACTGTTTACCACAGTAGGTACTTCTGTCTATTATTCTTCGTAATACATAAACAAATATTACGCAAGAAAAATATATTGTATTCGAATGTACTATTGAAAGTAACAACAACAATAATTAGATGAGATAAATTAAGCGTAGTTGAAAACAATTTATGATGATGATGATCCCTGCTCTAATTTTCTCTTTTTTATCTTCAACTGCTGGTCTTATTATTAGTTTTATTGTTAACGCAAAAGTTTGCTCATTACAATATATCTAATTATAAGACTTTCTCTTGATGAATTTTTTAATTTCATTCATTGCAAATTTTTTTTTACGTTCTAATTATTTTCTGTTAAGCTTTATGTTGTTTCTAGTAGCCAAAAGTTTTTTATTAACTAATTTGAACAAAAGCAAAAGTCACAACGCAAATATATAATAAGAGGCGGTTATATAAAGGCGGGAAATATACATGCATGATTCCTGCTAGAAATAAGGAAATACTTCTAGCTGCTACCACGTATACATATGTACCTACCAGTGGCGGCTCGGGATTGTTCACATAGGGAGAACATAAATTAACAATTAGTAGGTGCAATTATTTATTTTCTAAACATTCCAGAGACAATTTTTTTTGTCTTTCGTTAAACGTGAAACGCATTGTCCTTTAAAGGTCGTGAGCAAGCTGAAACACTTGCTCAGTTGTTACGTATTATTTGACGTTAAAGACGCTCCAGATAAAGCTATCCCCGCCACCAATGCAATGTTAAGACATACAGAAATACTTCTAGCTGCTTCCACGCATACAAATGTACCTATCAGTGGCGGCTCGGGATTGTTCACATAGGGAGAACATAAATTAACAATTAGTAGGTGCAATTATTTATTTTCTAAACATACCAGAGACAATTTTTTTTGTCTTTCGTTAAACGTGAAACGCATTGTCTACTACAGGTCGTGAGCAAGCTGAAACACTTGCTCAGTTGTTACGTATTATTTGACGTTAAAGACGCTCCAGATAAAGCTATCCCCACCACCAATGCAATTTTAAGACATACAGAAATACTTCTAGCTGCTTCCACGCATACAAATGTATCTACCAGTGCGGCTCGGGATTGTTCACATAGGGAGAACATAAATTAACAATTAGTAGGTGCAATTACTTATTTTCTAATCATACCAGAGACAATTTTTTTTGTCTTTCGTTAAACGTGAAACGCATTGTCTACTACAGGTCGTGAGCAAGCTGAAACACTTGCTCAGTTGTTACGTATTATTTGACGTTAAAGACGCTCCAGATAAAGCTATCCCCGCCACCAATGCAATTTTAAGACATACAGAAATACTTCTAGCTGCTTCCACGCATACAAATGTACCTATCAGTGGCGGCTCGGGATTGTTCACATAGGGAGAACATAAATTAACAATTAGTAGGTGCAATTA